AATCTTCTTCCTTGACATTACTTTTCTGAAGTCATTAACTTAGACCATAGTGATTGCCTCTGTATTTCACAACATGCTCTCTGCCCAACTGGAGACAGAGCCAGGATAAACTGTTATGATGCTTCTTGATTGTACCAAAATCCCCACAAAAAGGAAGCAACAGGGAGAGTCTTAATCTTGGTTCCTGTGCTGCTGGCCAGAGGGCTCAGTTCCTATCTGGAAAGCACAGACATTTATGCACCTAGCCTTTCATAATCTGATTGTTCTATCTCTTGTTAAATTAAATTAAATTAAAGCATTTGTGTTGATCGAGAAATTAGGGCCCTTGAATGTTATGTCTTACAGTCTCAAATTGCTTTGTAATCTTTTCTTTTCCCTCTGTTCATGTGGAGAGGAAGTTTGTGAAGGAATTACAATTCATTTGCCTGTACAGATCCATAGGAGTCAGTAGGCTATAAAACTCTGAACGCAATATGGTACAAGATACAAGGAGGTGGCACAATGCCATAGAAAACTGCAAACCTCTGCTAGGAGATTATGCAAGAAGACTGAGGGCCACACCACTGTCTTGCACATTTTTTCATATCAAATGCACCGAGCTTCCAAGTAAAACTTACATGTGTATTCTAGATTTTTTAGCCTGGGAAATTTGTACGAGGATCTGAGATAAATGAGACTGTTGTTGGCATGTATAAGTATTGTACCGTAGCTAGACATATTACATATCTCCCCTTTCCCATAATTATGTCTACAGATTTCCAAAGAACCCCTAAATTGTGTTAAACTTGAAGCAGGCATGTCCCACAGCTCTGCTGTAAGTGTCTCCTGAGGCAGTTTTAGCTGTGGCACCACATCTATGAGCTTGAAAGACAACCTGAATCCTTGCAGTGTTTTTTACCCCATTGCTGACACAGGTGCCTTTTGTAGGTAGACTTATCCACAAGGGGGTGTGACAGGGAGTGTGTTTAGTTTGAATTAAATAGAAGACCCTTTCTTCCTCCCTCTTCTCACAAACAGTATGATTGATAATGGTGATCACATTACAGCAAACATAAAAAAGATTTTAAAATATTTTTATTAATTCTTCACGGAGAAACTGTAAAAAAGCCCAGCTGTAATGCATTCACTCCACCCCTCATAATCCCTGGATGATTGCATTTCTTCTAATTTTAGTTTTAAAATTTTTCATAACATCTGAGGAAATTATATTTAAATATTTCTTTGCTTCTTTGAAGGTAAAAAAACTCCACACTTTCCTTTGAAAATACTGTATAAGTGCTGTCTAACACAGCTTTCCCTCTGTGTAGTGTCTCAGGCACAGTATTATTCCCAATGTTGTTGCGCCCTTTAGTCCAAATAACATTTTCTTGTGTTTCTCCTCTGCAGCAGATGGCCAATAGCCAACCACAACATTTTTCATTGAAATGGCGAGGATATGCTCTAATTACCTCCCTAACAAAGACTTTGATTACATCTAAATTCCAGGATTTCTGAAGGCAATTTTTTCATGGTATCAGCCTATTTTTTTCTGACTGATTATGCCTTCTGCACTAACCTTTCACTCCTTTGTATCCCAGAAAGCAACAGAATGTCTTTAATCCAAAATGAAAATTAGGCAAGGCAGCACTGTCTTAAAAGGCACAGTTGACCAATTTATGAATAGCACAGTGTTTATCAGAGTAACAAGTTGCTTCTTGGAAAAAATGTGGTGAGGACTTCTCATGAAGCACAATTGCTGTAATAACACAGCCCAATCCCCTTCCCCAAATCTTTGCTATTTCTAGAACTGCCCAGCCACGCACTCACTGTCCAGTCAAACTGTCCCAGCAGGTGACAAGGTTTCTGTGTAAAACGGCAAATCTGTACATTTGGGACCTGGATATGTGTGAATTCACTTTACAGGGACACGGTTGCTCACAAAATGAACCCCAGGGAGGTGGACAAGTGAAGTTCAAAGCTGTAGGAGAGCCTATATTCTCTGCTCCACCCTATGTGGAAAAGACTGGGATGCAGGGTCCGGTATTCCGGGTTTAGCTATACATCACCAGGAGATGTTTTCTATCACAAATTGCCAAATTTTTCTCAGTCCAAGGAAACAGCTTTGGTACATGGAGTCCAGGTGCAGTTTTCATTTGATTTCAGTCCCAGGGGAGCACAGAGGCTGAGAGGGGCTCTTGCCATGACAGCTTGTTTCTCCTTCCCCAGCAGATGTCAGAGAGGGCAGAGGCAGGGAATGCTGCCAGACCTGCAGCAATTAGAGGATGAATACCCCATGCAGGTGATTTCCACCATCTCAGGAGATGCAGGCGAAACAGAGGTGTCACAGAGCCTTAAAAAAACTTACATTGACCGAGAAAAGAGGAATCTTGAGTGTGGTACTCTAAACCCAGCCAGGACTTTGTTGCCTGGGGTGGGTGCTAGATCAAGCTGATTGCTTTAAATAATGTTATTTATACACCAGAATCAGACTGCCAATATTTCTAGGCTAAGTCCACACACAGGTTAGGAAAATAGCATATGGACTTGTTTATCAGTGTGAAAGTACAGTTCAAGACACAGACGTTGTACTTCAGCCTAGATGTTTGTTCCAGAAGTATCTGGTCTGTATAAAAAGTTTAAGAAAGAAAAAAACTAATTTACAAGAAGACATGAAGAAGACCTTGAGACAAAATAATCATATTCCCTCTAAATTCTCCTGGAGACCCCAAGGACTCCAGCAGTAGCCCAAAGTTTCTATGCTGATTTGTGCCACCTGCCCTATTGTTTTCGCCTTCAACACTATCAGTGCTGCTGCACTTATCCTGTTTTGGAATGTTTCCAGCTTTCATGACATTTTAAAGTGACCTTTGTATAGAGTGAAAGTTCCAAATACTAGGATCCTAAACAGCATATCTGTATTTAGTTAGGAACTTAAAATCCCAAAGCTATCATTATTTTAATTCCCAATCTCTGGGGGAAAAAAAATACAACTAAAATTTTTTTTAGAAGAGGAAGAGAGAGATGGGTTATGTCACAGAAATGGAGATGACAGTAAATAAATAAATGAAGAGTAGGTGACCAATCCTTTGTTTTTATTCTATTACTGTTTCCAGATCCGGAAAAACTGTAGTTTGTACTGAAGTAAATGTTTATTTCCTTTGCCTAAGGAAATACAAAGCTGAAAACTAATACTCTATTGGAGAGGAGATTTGGCATTTAACTTAAGAATTTACAGGTTGCATCAGGAAAAACCAAGGATATACAGAGCTTATTTGCAGCAGTATCTTCTATCTTGCCTGTGGCTCAGGGATGAGAGGTGAGCTCTGCTTAAAAGGCTCTGGACAAGTTCCAGCTTCCAAGAGCCAGGCTGGGGTGAGCAGCTCCAGCAGCCTCATGGACTGTGTTGTATGTACAGCAAAGGAAGGGAATGAAGAAACTGCAGAGCAAAAATCTGGATTCACAAGTCCATTTCAGGAAGATTCTGAGCTGCAAGAAATGTCTCTTTGGCTCTCTGTTAAGAGACTAGGAGAGTAATCTGGAGGGCCAAGTATAATAAGAGTTCACACTGTATGACTGTTCTTATGGAAGCCTGGTAGAACATCTTCACTCAAAATACATGATTACATTGTCATTCTGCCTCCATGCCTTGTTACAATCACTGAGGACTTGGAGTCACAGAAACTCTGACACTCATAGAGGTGAGTTTTAATGGTGAGGTTAAAGATGGGGCATTTGTCCCTCCATCCAGGTTAGCAACCAAGATAATTTTTTCCTTAAAACTGCTGTCCATAAATCTCACAGCTTTCTCTCAGTTTGTATTTTCTAGGATTCATCCTGTTTGCCTTCTGGCAGCTGCCTGCAGTTAGGCTGCATCTACATAAAAATGTATCCAAAGCTGGGCCCAGATCCTGGCTTTTCCAGTGGTGGGTAGAGAAGAAAGGTGACCTTTATATCTTTCATTTGCATATGGTATCAATCTCTTCCCCCTCTGCTTGGCTAAACCAGTTTAGATTCTGGCATTCAGGATCTGTCTTAACGTTGAGAATTTGTGTTCTTGCCTGTAAAACCAGTAGGCAAAGGTTCATATCAGCTCTGCTGTTCCTAATGAGCCAGAATAAACACGTGAGCCTCTCACAGCTGTTTTAACCCCACAGAGGAGGCGGGAGCTCCGTGTGATGACACAGAGGCAATGACACAGGATGAAGTAACATGGTTAGTGTGAATGTGGCCGTGATGCTGAACACTGGCCAGTGGACGCAAATATTAATAACCTGCCACGGTGCTCTTTGGTTAAATAGATTTCCAAAAGTTTAGGTTTGCTTTTTCTGGTTTTTTCCTTAGATAAAAGCAGAGTAAGTGCAGTGGAAGAAATGAACACTTTAGCTACTCAGTTAGCCTTGACAGAAAACTCTACCCAATGCGACTCCTCTGTGTGTTTAATATTAAGTGTACACTTAAATACTGTGCTGGAAGTAGGCTTGATTGCTGAGCATTTTTTAAATGAAGCCCTCTAGCCTTGAAAGTTCTGGAGTTCATTCACACCTGCTCCACACTTTGTTTTACGGGTTTATCTGCTCTTTTGGCAGACAAATATGGAATATATTCCAATTTTTTTCCTCTCCAGTATCTCTTTTCTTCCAAATAAAAGCCAGTATATAAATCCTGGCACTAAAAGAAGTATAAGCTTTTTGGTATGAGTATGAAACAATGATGTGCTAAGAATATAAAGCTACAATGACATATCATACTGAAACTCAAAAATTCTGGTAGTAAAGATAATTTTCCCTATAGGAGCTATTCAGCAATAAAATCTTTTGCAGGAAAATAATATTGAGTCCAGGAGATTATAATTTTTACACATATCATAGAGGCAGTGTTAGCCCTTTCTCAGATATGGATTACTTGTGTTTCACCATTTTACTCAGAAATAGTCTGACCTTTTGTACAGACACTATCAACAGAAAAGATAGCGCCAGTCAAGAAAGTAAATGTAAATCATTCATGTGGAGCCAAGCACTCTATTTTCTGTGTTGAGAAGCTTTTATTGGATCACCACAATATTTTGGATTAGTTACACTATGGCTCTGAAATATCAAATTATGGTGCAATCATTTTCCCTATAAAAGGAAATAAAATAAAGAAGCACAGTGCATGAGGCTTTGGTCACTGAACTAAGCCAAGGTTTTAGAGCCAGTTCCAGTCCGGTGCAGAGAGGAAACTTCTTCACACTCTTTCATAAACTCTAGTGCAGACAACCCCTTTCATGGCATATTCCTAGGGCATAAAGGAAAATATTAATATAAACTTTTTACTGGCAGCAGTTGTGTCTGCTGCAGTAATCTCTGAAGTCAATGAAAATCCAGATGTCATGTTTTAGACCTCTACATATTTACAGAACTTCTAGAGCAAACAGCAAAGCTATTTTTGTATTGCAAATATAGTATCTATTTTTACAGTTTTAAACTTCATTAAGTGGCATTTAATGACAAAAAGATTTCAAAATCAAGCTCTGCTTCCACAAACAAATTTACTTTTCTTGGTATTATTGCTGGCTTGTCAGAAATATTAGCTCCACTTCGTTTTTATATCATGGTCCACCAACACTTTCAAATTTTCAAAGTAGTAAGGGTTTTTTGTGTAGAAGGAGAAACAGCCTGGGTATTTCAAAGGTCAGGCTTCTAAAATCCTTTGCTCTTCTGAGTCACAAAATATTTCCCTTGACTCTCTCACCCCAGTGGCCCTCAGTGGCTGCTGATGACTCACAGCCACAGGATGCATGCAACAAAGGTGACAGGATGTTAAAAAAATACTTCCCTGGTCTGCAATATATGAGGAGTCCTCCACAACCCTGAATGAGGCAAGGGACAGACAGCAGGATGCTGACAGAAGAGGCACACTCTGTTTCATGAAGAGGGCTCAATAATTAGAAATCTTACATGGAAATGCATCCATGAGGAGATGCAAAAACAAATCAACCTTCCTACATAAAGGGAGGTTTCAAGAGAGCTAGGAATGGACTTTTTACAGGGGTGTGTAGTGTCAGGACAAGAGGGAATGGCTTTAAACTGGGAGAGGGGAGTTTTGGATTAGGTATTAGGAATAAATTCTTTATCATGAGGGTGGTGAGACACTGGAACAGGTTGGCCAGAGAAGTTAGGAATGTCCCACCCTTGGAAATGTTCAAAGCCAGACTGGATGGGGCTTTGGGCAACCTGGTCTAGTGGACGGTGTCCTTGTGTCCATGACAGTGGGTTGGAACTAGATAATCTCTAATATTCCTTTCAACCCAAACCATTCTATGATTCTGTGTATGAGAATTTATAACAAAAGACAGTCAGAACAAGCAAACATGTAAAAGTGTAGTGCTGCTGACTGCAAACAAATTGCCAAAAGAAGTTTGACTCCAATATTTAAAAACTTTAATGAACAAAGTGAAATCTTAATTTTAATAGTGACCCTTACAACTAGGGTCTCTGAAATGTTTTGTCTCCCTGGCTTGGCCAAGATGGAGAAAAGGAAAGAGCTGCTTAAGGGTCAGCAGTACCCTGCTTGTAAACTTTTGTTTCCATTTCACAGGTTTCTGTTATTTTTAAACCTTATTCCTTTTGAGAACAATAATATTGAGAGCAGTAAGCATGCTGTCAATTTATGGCAGCTCTGCCAATATAGTCACTTTAAAGACAAGGTGCTGTATGCAGCAACATTTATTTCCTTCCAGTTGTTTTCTAAGCTTGGTTCCCTTTTTCTCTCCTTTAATTTGTCTCATTATTCAAAGAGTAAGCCAAAACTGATAGTCTGTTTAGACAGGAATGAACTGATGGCTGTATTTTTCTGAACTTTAGCAGCATACGTGAACTTACCACCACCATCTTCCCATCAACAAGTCTTCTCTTTATCGTGGTTTCTTTGCCATTCCACTTCTGCACTTGCACCAATGACCCTTTCTCCAAGGTTACAACACTCTGCAAATTCCAAGAGAAGAATTTCAAACTGCATTTTGAGCTCTGCAGATTAGTGTAGCAATTCACTTTACGTTCAGCAAGATATGTGCTCTGGGTAATGACATGCTCAGTAACATTATATTCAGCGCAATATCTTCTTTCAGTCCTTTATTTTAGTGGATTGGAAAACTCAAGGTGCACTAAGGGAGTAGGTAAAATTTCCCCTGATGTTCTTCTAGGAGATGTTCAGACCACTCAGATATCATCAGCCCCCTTACCTTGACTTTCCGGTCATCTGCTGTTGTTTCGTCAAACTGCTGGCCCAGTTTGAAAGAGATGGCTGTATTTTTGAAGGTGCTTTCAGTTCTGATGGTCACTATGTCCCCTTTCATACTGATGATCACATCAGGCCTTGCCAGGCCACCCAGTTTCCGGGTAGCTAAACCCACTCCTAGAAATCAGAAACAAAACAATCATTACACTCTAGAAGCAATAAACTCCATTTCCTTTCATGATTCTTCAGTGGAAGAATATAGAAGAGCTTCTACTTGAATACTTCAATGCCTGATTGAGATGAAACACTAATTCTTTAGATGAGACACTACTGAGACAGAGGTAGGAATGGGAACCTCAGTATTCAGGGGCTGAGGCAGCTCCAGCTGATAAGAGTGCACCTTCAGCAAGAAGTAAAGATGTACACGATTATAGAGCTGTGCACATTTAGATAAGAAGAAACAGGGTTGGTTACAGATCTGCATTAATTTCATATAGATAGAATAAGCAGAAAAATTCAGAGGAAGTGTGGTTCTCCTAAAAATTTGTAAAAAACCTTTTAAAAAATTCTTTGACAAATCTGAGAGTTTGTACCTTTGTTAATAGTTGCACAGAAGAAACTGGACACTGAATTTCCAATATGCTGGTTCTTGTTCCTTAAAACATACTGAAGACTGGGTATTTCCTAAGTTGTTATTAACATCCCTTAAGGATCCTTGCATCTAAACCTTGGTGAAAAGTACAAGTATGAAATATAAAAAATGTCGAGGTGTAAGGGCTAAGAGCTGCAAAGAGCTTCCAGAAAAATCCCATACCAAAAGCCTTTTGTATTGCCTAGTCCTTTCCAGTCCAGTTCATTGTCTACCGGCTGTGAGGCTTGGGGCAAGCAGGAATGAAGCCACTGGTGATATATCACTGCTTCATAAAAGCAGAAAAGGGGTAGCTGCATTCAGTGCCTTTGTTAATGCTATGCCATGCTCAGATTAAAAGATCTTTAAAAAAGGGTATAACATTATCTGCAAAGTATAAAACTATTTGCAGTAATTATTCCATACTAAGCAATTCTGTTCAGATGTTCAGAAAAATATCTGCAGCTGGACTTTCCTCCCACATTCACCCTGGCTAATTAATTAACTGCAATTCTTTTGTTATTCAGTCTAACATTTCAAATAAAGAGAATCAGTGAACCATTTATATGGTAAAAGCAATGCAGTAGCTCACTGTCTGTGTACTTTGCATATAGGAATTAAGCCAGAATTAAAGTGAAGAACAATGTTCAATTTGTTACATTCTTGGCATTCTTCAGTAACAGATAGATTCATTCATAGTATTTAGATGTCTGAAACTACAGTGTCATGAGACATCAGCTCCATTATATATTGTTAATTATCGTAAGTCACAAGTTTAATAGTGCAAGCAAGAGGAAACATAAAAAAATCTGTATCTCCATAGATTACTCTCATTAAAGAAAAACATATTAGATCAGTTCATATTAGTTAATAGAAGTAGATTTATAGTAGTAATTCATCACCTGCCTTTTTCAATTTAGATGCTAAAGAAGATAAATTAAATTATATTGGAAGAGTAATTAAGTGCTTTTTATGGCCAGAAAGAAGGCACCATCCATGAGAACCTTCCCAAATGAAACTTACAAAGAAAAAGAAAAAACATAAAATAAGAACAAAACCAAACCCAGAACATTTCTCACCCAATTCTTTCATATAATCATCAAAATTTTCGCTGGAGATGAGTTTCCAGGTTCCCACAAATCGGTTACACATCGTACAGGCTTTGTGAGGCGCTGGTCCTGCAGAAAGAGGCAGTGGCCACAGCAGCTCTTGGTGGCAGTCGGGGAGATTGTGTGCCCAACTGAGATTGAGTGGTCTCCCTTTAAAGAGGTCCGGTCCATGTGGCAGTCGGGGGTGGCCAATAGTGGAGGCAGGACCAGGGAGAGACAATGTGCACCTTGTCTGAGGCAGCCGTGCCAGTACCAAGGCTCGGGGTGACGCTGCCTTGGCTTCCTTCACTGAGAGCACCAGGACACGAGGGGCACGTGGGGACAGGACAGGACCACTGCACTGCAGAGCGGTCAGGGCACACTGCAGTGGGACATCAGCAACACAGGAGCACTGCCTCCCCACAAAACCCAGCTCCAACTGTCCTCCCAATGTTATTCTCCTGCTGTCACCATACGGAACAGGAATCTGTTAACAGCCATCTCATCCAGCTGCCTGACCAATCCAGGGCTGACCAAAAGTTACAGCATGTTGTTAAGCCATTGTCCAAATGCCTCTTAAACACTGACAGGCCTGGGGCTTCCTCTCTAGGAAGCCTGTTTCAGTGTGTGACCACTCTCACTAAAGAAGTGCATCCTAATGACAAATCTGAACCTCCCCTGACACAGCTTTGAACCATTCCCACACATCCTAGCCCTGGATACCAGGGAGAAGAGATCAGCACTTTCCTCTCCACTGAGGGGAGTCTCAGGAGTGAAATTCTTGTAGTCTTTGGTTTATGTGGTGGCTGTGGGAAATAAGGTCTTCAGTCACATATTTTGGTGGCATATGCAAAATGTTCTTAAACCCCTCAATCATAACATCAGTGGGGGAAGCTGAACAGAGCTTCCTTTGCTGGACAGGTCTAACGACAGTTCAGTGCAGGGAGCAAAATTCTGGAGTGATTGAAAAGATGAACAAGACAGAGATGTCTTTCTCCCCCACAGCTGGAAGCAGATGCTGTACCTGTAATAAGTAAGTAAATGTCAGTCTTTGAAGGTGTTGTCCACACAAAACTCTTCTAAAGCAGAGATGCATCATATCACATTTTGTATAAAGAATAGCTAGCTCTTTTTTCCCGTCTCTGGAAATTAGAAAACTACTTCTAAATGAAACTATCGATTATTACTCAAGAAATAATATGAAAATATTCTACCCTTGCTCATCAAGCATTCTTTGTTCTTTTATTTGTCTTATCCACATAAAGGCACTTTAACAAGACAAGGCTGGTGCCTTTGGGAAATAAAAGATGATTGGGATGTTGTAAAATCAGGCCCAAAGAAATGCAAGAAAAGCAAATTAGTCAGAATAGAACAGCCACACTGCAGTACCAGTAACCTTAAGAACAAAAGTAACAGAGAATTATTTATTCAGACAAAACCCCAGTCTTAAGCAGTCTCAAACAATGTTGACATTGCTACCATCTATCTCTTTGTCACTAAGAAAAATCAGTACTTTCATTTAAAGGACTTGCAGCTTAGAAAGAACAAGAGCCAAGAAATATATCTCAGTAGAAATAATTGTGGAAACCAATCTTTTCTTGAAGTTTAAAGAGGAAAAAATTATCAAGGATTGTGAGCACATATGATAAGGGAGAGCCTTGATTCCCTTGTTTTGTTTATAGTTGATGTAAAACAGGATTTAAAACATTGAAATTGGAGATTGTGAAGAAGCACAAGAGATAAAGGTAAAACTTGATAGAAATAAAACTAAAATAGAACTAAAAATTCAGAGACTATTTAGAAATAAAGATACTGTTTAAAGAAATGCAGAAAGTAAATTATGTGAATTTCTTTAAAGGAAATATGATCTAGGCATATTCAAGGCCAAAAAAAGTCTAAATAGATTCCCAGGGGAGCAATGAAGAAAACAGAAATAGAAGGGGAGAACAGAGGTCAAAGAGGGACTTGCTGTGAGGACAGCCAAGGATGTCTTAGCATTGACTCTGTGAAGCTGAAGGATCAACTCTGAACATGGGGCCAGCAGCCTCTCTTTTCCCAATATCTACATTAGAGGGTGCAAATAGCTTCTTGTTCCCTCAGCTGAACATCATACATGACCAGACTGGGACAGCTGGGCTGGGGAAATGAGTCCAGACTGCACTGCACACATGGGGTTTGACAGGCCAGGACACAAAAGTCCTTCAAGTTCTTTCCAGTGGAAATAAATAGTTAAAAGAAAAAGAGAAAAACAACCGATAAGTCAATGCTCAGAATAAGCCTTTCCTCATCTTTCTGCTGAACTGCCAAACCTCTGGGTGTGAGTCGCCTTTCCCTTTCGTCATCCAAGAAACCTGTAAGGAGCAGTGAGTGAATGTGGTGAGGGACAGAGATCTCCTCCCAGCATTCAAGGTGCCTGCTATGGTAAGTGTGCTGCCCATGGGTTTGTAGGGGTTTAGTAAGATCCTTCTTTGGCAGAAAGGAATGCTCTGGGGTGGTTACTGACCTTTGGACAATAGTTCAGCATGACAGAAAAGAGAGGGAGACCTGTGCTGCTCTGCAGGTTAGGACGAGACACCAATTTGACTTTAGCCCTTAGGAATGTGCTCCCACCTCCATCTAGGTCTGAGAGCACACACCTTTTCTTGACAGCAAGGAAATCACATAAAAATCTGTTGATTCAAGCAGTTACTAGACTGCTGCTGTTCTCAGAAAATAAATTTTGTCCTTTTTCAGAGAATAAATTCCAAACATGTTCATATCCTAAGAAAAGCATCACTAATACTTCCTTATGGTGCTGTCCCTGTTCAGGTTTATAGACAGAATGTCACTTTATTGAAATTTCCAAAAATTGAAGTTTTATGCATTCATAAATTTCAAAGTCATTCACCATGTAACAAACTAAATGGTGATGTTTTTAAAAGACATTACCCTTTGCTGAAATATTAGGCTGTGCATGTTACAATTGTAACTGCTGGTTGCATTCAGAATGTAAGATTTCTGGAAAATAAAATCTGCTCTTTGAATATCAGAATATTGGAAATTTTCCTCTGACAGAGTATTTCTAAATGTGTAGATGATAGAATACTATGGGCTGATATTTAATGTTTATATGTAGTTCATTTAAGTCAATGTTTCTGCTCCTTACAGCCATCACTCTCGTGTAGATTTTCTACCACTAAACTGTAGTTGTATCGTAACTCTCATAAATAATTTTGGTTTTGTTAAGTGCTAGGTAGATTTAGTACTGTATATATGGAGTACGCTGAAGCATTCTTCCATCCCATATGCAACTGCTGTTCTTTAAATTGGTGAGACTTATTTAGCAATGAAGCCAAGGCTAAAACACAGCGGGTGTTTGTTCATGGTTATTTCAACATTTTCTGCACAATTTACTGATGGTCTTTGGCATCACCTTTAAATGACTCCTCAGCTCGTGTATAATGTAAAAGTCCTTCCATTTCCCTATCCGGTTGTATAAATAGTGCAAAAACTTGGGAACAATCTGAGTTATGCAGAGGAAAGTTCAAGTGTATGAGAGGTCTCTGCTGCTAGCAGTAGGGACTCAGCACCATCACCTCTGACAGCTGACTTTAGGAATGTCAGGAATATGTGGAATTTGGTTCACAGATCTTAATCACTATAGATATGGTCATTGCCCTATTTAGGGGAACATTTAAGGCACACATTTTGATATCTATTGTTCAGGTTCTCCCTAGAAATCTTGATTATTTTTTTTTTCCTCAATTTAAGCCCTCACAGATGTAGAAATCATGGCTTCTATAGATGCAAAGTTTAGAAACAGGAGACCAGGCCTATGGGCAGTAGGAGATGGCAGTTCAAAAACAAGCAGAGTTGAAGAACATGGTGTCCAAAGGGCTTTGCATCTAGAAAGGCTCATGTTCCCAAACCTGATCAAGCCTAATGAGCTAGTAGAAAGTGCATGCAAGTAGTAAAGGAGGTTGTATCACTAGCAAACATGTACAGGCTATTAGTAAACCTGAGTATTTTTAAGCTATGATTCTTAATTCAAGGCTTTTAGCCTATCTAGGACAAAATGAGATGATCAAGACAGGCACATTGACAAAATGATCACAGCTCTAACTGCTATAACTTCACACTTGAGGTGGAAAAGGACAAGATCAAGGTGCTTCAAATGGTCCCTAGTTTTAAAATCATCTGGATTTGTGCACAGAGGAGGCGCCTGGTACCCTGCTCATGTTTGGAAACCAAAACTGGACATCCACAGATCATATTCCTCCCTGCCCCAGGAACAGCCAGCTCTGCTTGAAGCTGAGAAGAGCAGCCCTATTATTTCCCTGGCTGTGCACAGCCTCCTTGTGGGGGCAGCCTGCACGCAGACGATGTTTCTGTGTTCAGGGGTCATTCTGACCCTGTGACACAAGTGCCACTCCCTGGCCCGGCTCTGATGCTCTTTCTGCAGGGAGGTGGTGGCATGGCTGAGTGTGGCACTGGCTCCCACAAGTGCTTTCCTGCACAGCACCCCTTCCCACACTGCACAGCCCCCAAGCCCCTTCCTGACAAACTCCAGCATAAGCACACATTGTAGAAAGCAGAACCTTTTATTGAATAGGCACAACAAATTAGACTAAATGTGTGTAACTGCTTTGGGATATAGCTGAAAAAAAGTACAGTTCTCTTTAAAACAGATTTGTGGGGCTTTTCTCCTTTGGTTAAGTTGTTTTACTCCAGCTTTAAGCATTAGTCCTGTGTGAAGGTGGTTTCTTCATGCTTTTTCATAAACTCTTTTGCAGGAAACATTATTCATGGTGCATTCCTGGAAGGAAAAAATAATTCAATAAGCTTTTAATTCTTACTAAATGTTTGTTAGTCAGAAGGTAGAGAATTACTTATCCATTGGGAGCCAGTTTAATAAAAATTTGCATTTATCCATCTCTAAAGGCAATTGCTAAAAGAGTGGAACCCAGTTTTGAGAGTGTCAGCAGCGGAAGACTGAAAAACAAGCACAGGAGTGAAAGAATTTTCAAGAACTGCTCTACTGACCCCCAGGAGATTCTTTATCTTTCCTTAAAAATCTCTAAAGAAGGCTCCTTGTACTTCTGTGGAGGCTGACTGGACCCTGGAATTGGGCATTAACCTTTTTTCTCTTCACCTTTTGCAGCTGTGGCTTGTCCTCTTCACACATGTGAGCACAACACACGCACACACAGAGAGCCTTCAGACTTGCAGCTGCTAGTGTCAGCCTCTGCATGTGAAGCTCTGTTCTCATCTATTTTTCAGTTAGATCAAACTCTGTTTTGTTCAATCTTTCTTAATGAAGTTGTTATTAAAAAGTATTTCTATATCCTCTCCTCTGGTCTCTATCCAAATAAATTTAAATATTGGATTTATGGACACATTATTTTTCCCTAGGGGAGGGCAGAACTCTTTAGGAATTTTGTGTATGTGTATACTTTTGCAGCATGTAAGAATCTCAGCCGCCTCTTATGAATGTAAATCCTGTCCCAGATTCCTCAAAGTGTGTTTTCTACAGCTGTAGAGCAGAGTTGGGAAGTCCCAGACTGTAGGTGGGCCTTACTGGCACCAAGTCAAGCACAATAGTCTCTGACCAGATAAAACCAAGCAGCAGAGCTTGGACACGTTTCCTTGCTCTAACATCTTATTATTAACACAGTTGCTGGTGATGCATAGCAGGCTTCCCACAGATGATTAAGCTTCTGCTGAAGATGAACAGGAGTATTCTGCATCAGCCTAGAGTGGACACATTTCATGTGGGCTTTGTTAATGTTTCCTCTATACTGTCCAGAACTTAGAGATTCTGATATATGTTAGTTTTCCTTATAGGGTTTTTCTTCCTACACTTCCCCAACCATGTCTTGCTATGGAGAACATGCACCTCCCATACCATTCTGTAAGTTTAACAACTTTTCAGTTTTAATCTACACTCTAGAGTCAATCAGAGAGACTTCTCACTGAGTGCACAGAGCCCTTTTAGATGTCTTCTCTTCCTGTGTTTGGATCCAAAGTCATTCATCAGCTAAACATGAATTCTGCACACTGAATTCAGTGATTAAGTAACAAAAATTGACTTACCACCACCAGATTCCCATCCACCACTTTTCTCTTTATGATAGTCTCTTTTCCATCCCACTTCTGCACCTGGCTCAGCACACCATTGTCTAGGGTTATGACATTCTACCAAAATAAAAAAACAAAGTGTGGCTGTTTCATCAGGGTGCTCTGGTCTCAAGAGAAGACTCTCCAGGTCCAAACAGCACTAAGCACAAAGCACCCATAACATTCTTACCTGTGGAGGCAGCATTTCTGCTCTGGATGTCAAAATCACAGCTCTGCCCTGCTGCTCCCACATCCCTTTTGAGAGATGCATTTGCAAAATGCCATTTTGGAACTCACCTTTGTTTTTCTGTCATCTGCTGTGGTCTCATCAAACTCTTCACCCAGCTTGAAAGAGACCTCTGTATTTTTGAAGGTGCTTTCTGTTTTGATGGTTATCACATCACCGCTGACGCTGATAGTTACATTAGGCTTTGCCACACCAGCCATCTTCCTGGTAGCAAACCCCACACCTGTAAATAAGGTATGGCACTATGAAATTTTTGTCTTTCCTCAACCTTTTTGTCTTATACACTGGAAAATAAAAAATACAACCCTCAGTACTTTTTCCCCTATTGCTTTCTGACTGTTAATTATTCTATGTTACAGGGCTTCTTTTGTAAAATCTCACTTGGTACTCTTGATCTATAGATCAAGCTGGGTGGGTTGATGTAATGATGTAATGAAATTCTCTATAAATAGTAAAAGCAGTATTTTGAAGACTGAGATTATGTGAATGCCAGATATTTGCACATAGACTTGCTCAGAATAACTTTCGTAACTTGTACTCTAACTTGTATACTAATTATATCTAAATGTAAATAAGCAGGAATATTTGACAGTTTCTGAGCCACAAAAGCAACAAAACAAACAAATAAACAAGGAAAAAAAAAGAAAGCTTTTTATATTTACAAGTGGGTAGGTTGAATATAAGGAAATGATTATGAAATAGTTGGCAATGGTTATGTCCTGAGTAAAATCTGGAGTAAAGTTTAAGAGTGCAAGAGTCACTCATTGAAAGCTGTCAGGATAAGTCACAGTAATTATTTTACCTCTAAACTGCAAATAACCCCCCCAGCTTTTTAGCACATACTAATTGAATCAGTGCAAGTTAACTCCTGCTTCCTCTGCACTAACAGAATGTTGAAACCTTTTAAATCCCAATTTTAATTCTAAGCAAGAAGTCTACACCTTTAGAGAAAACTGTTAGACATCAAATCTTGCAATGAATCCATGCAATTGTCTTTGTTAATATTCACTGGAGACAGCTAAAGAGTTTCATTCAATATAATAGCCATGGCAATTAACTGGTGTCCTAATCCAGTAGCATTTTAAAATTGTTTAGATGTGTTGCTCATAGACATAAGGAAACTTGCTGCTTTCTAGCATCACACCTAGATGCATGTCCAAGGATAAAAGCTAATTCACACAAAATTTTACTTCCATTTATAACACTACTAATAAGGCATGCAGAGACCTGGCTTACCTGAAATTATTCCCATCAATCAAAGTTTTTCTGCTTTATAGGAATTCAACACCACTTATTGACACAGATGAATTCTCCAGTTTAAGACTATCTGATCAAAATAGTTGATTAAAACCCCCCTGATAAACAGCAAAACCAGAAAAAGCAAGTAAAGAGTAAAGTTCAAAACTGGCATTCCTTCCCTGTTCCAGATACAAGAAGTTGAAATAACAATTCTCACCCAGTTCTTTCATATAGTCCTCAAAGTTTTCACTAGAAAGGAGCTTCCAGGTTCCCACGAAGTGGTCACACATTTTGTCAGGCTAGAAAGTTGTCTTCCACAGGTTCCAAAGGAAATGCAGGACAGGAGAGTATAATGAGCTCTAGGGGAAGAGTACTTATCTTTAAAAAGGAGCTGTGGCCACATGATGCTCTGGGATGACCAATGAAGAGGGAGTCCCAGTACCCAGTGTTTTTCTTCCTCCCCTACCCCTCCTCTGCCAGTGGGTCATAGTGCTATTATTCATATGCCCTTACTAGCACAAAGATCACTGTCTTATTTTTATTTAATTATTTTTGACATTCAAGAACACTCTACCTTAAAGGCAAATAATTAAATCAAATTACCTTTCAGAATAAAAAGGTAATTAATGTTCTCTCCCCTACTCTTTCATTTCAGTCTACTATATCAAATGGACACAGCTCACTTCCTAGACTTTCAGATCCAAAAGGCTCATTGGGATCATTTAGCCTGTTTTCAGCCCCCCTGCAATCAGAAATTTCCTCTAGAGAAATACGGAACTACAGGAAGAAGTGGGTTTCGAGCACAAAGAGAGAATGCTGGGGTTATAGAAGGCTAAGGCAACAGAATTGCTTCCTTGATTGGGATCTGCTTGTCCTTGCACCACCTGAATCAATTTAACAATAGGTCTGTAATATGCTTTTATGCAATGGAGACGGGGTTCTGCGAGAAGAAAAGTAACAAAACAGAGGATTTTTCTCCCTTTTACTCCTATGCTTTCAGAACATGTATGTCCCAATGACTAGCATTATGAGTAGTTGTGGCATATAGCTAAGCTCTAGTATTGACCTGCCAAATGTCCCTGGACACTTCATTTCTTTTCCGTTTGTGTTGTTCAGGCATCAATTTGTTTGAGGCAAGTTGTGCACAGGCCTGACATAATGGGTCCATCTTGACTGATCCTCTAAACCCTGTCATACTTCAGTTCACAAAAAAAATCAGAAAGCAGTCAAGCAAGTTCTTAGGCTTTCCTTTGTCTGTAATGTGCTTTTCCAATGGCAGAAAGCAGCTAATACATGGATAGTCCAGCCCCTGCAATTCTCTTTATGTGGTTTTCCTGGAATTACTCTGCTAGTTGCTAGGCATCGATATTGTGGGCCACATATTTTTCTGCTTGTTGTCTTTGTAAATAACAATGCTATAGAAATTATTTATATAGGCTTGCAAGATCATAGGGGTATTTGTAAGGAAAGGGAATTGGGGGGTCTCTCCAGTGCCTCCTGCCACTCAGGCAGGGTCACCTCTGAGCCCACATCAGGCTGCTTAGAGCTGTGCCCTTTTGTGGATCAGATGGATCAGGATGGAGCCAGGCAGCATACACCCCTGCCCAGCTGTCCCAAGGAGGACACGGTCTCCTTATCTTCTCTCTGAAACTCTCTCCTTTCAGCTTTTATTCACAATTTCTCATCCCCCCACTATTCACTGCCTGGTTCCAGCTCCTCAGTCACTTTCCCACAGGTGTGAGGGTGGTTTGTAAGCACTCCCAAAGCTTAGCCAGGATGAATAACTTCAATCTCACAGCCTCTTCTCACAGGGCAAGTGAACCAGACCCCTGAAGATCCTGTGGGTCCTCTGCTGAGCTCACCTCAGAACTGGATGCAGTACTCTGGGTACACCCTAATGACTGCTGAGATGAGGGGCATAACCACTTCCACCAACCTGTACTTCTGCACATCCAGCACGGGATGTTTTTGACCTTTCGCTGCCAGGTCTCAGCTGACTGCCCACCAGGACTCTGAGAGTTGTTTCTGCAGGGCTCCTCCCTAGGCGGTCTGTCCCCAGCCTGGATTGCTCTGAGACCTGAGCAAGTTTGTACATGTATAATTAATACCTCCTTGTGCCTTTAAGATGTCAGTCTATAGGGACTAGAATAGCTAATTTTAGATTTGGCTTATTCTTCTAAAATTTTTTTGCATGTTCACTGACTTTGGCCTAATCTCAAAATAAATGAAACTATATTCTAATTATGAAGCAGCTAGTGCCTTTCCTGGTTGGTTTTTGCAGAATGTCACACGCTCAAGTGTTCTTTAAAAGGAAATTCTGAGGTTCCTCAAGTTTGTGTCATTATCTTGAGGTATTTTTACTTCAGATTATTGGCTTGAGAAACTCTGTATTGTGTGTGAGCAGATGGTAGGAACATGAAAACTCAAATCCAGCATTTAAATAATGAGAACTGAAAGTACCAGCTGAGGATTGTTGCAGTGGCCCAGATAGAAAGGCTGTAATGTGGATTAAATCAGTTCCTGTTTGTACTTTTCTTGACTTTTGGGAACTATTCTGTGTACAGCTTATTACAACCATCAAAAAAAACCCCTACAAACCATTTGTTTGGAGGGGAAATAGGGCTTTTATATTCAAAACTACAGTCTGGGAGAGGCAATTTGCGTTCCTTTGGTATTAACAGCTGTCTGCAATGCTTGTGATATTGGAAGAATTTTTGGGTAGTGTAGAAGCACCTTTTGATGAAAATCAGTTTGGAGCAGAGAAGTGCACCCTCCCCAGGCAGTCAATTACTTGCACTTATTTAAAGTGAATCTGAACTATTTGTAGATATCTTGCAAATGTGATGACTCAAAAATGCAAGAAGAAAGCCAGCTTGTGGGTCGACTGGCATGTCTACTTCGACAAGCAGCTATCTGGGAGCACATTTATGGCTCTCTCTTGGAAAGTATCCTACCAATGGTATCCTTTCCCTCAGGAGAGACTTCCAGTAACAAGAGATAAACTTATGGCACTGATGTCATCTAATACAAATCATGCCTACTCTCTGGGTAGACTGGGTAGACTCTCTGCTGATAAAGACTGGAGTTTTTAATGGTAATGAAGAAATCAGTGAGGCTTCTGAGCCTGGAAGCTTAAGCAAGTGATTCATGTCACTTGCAGAAGTGTCTTGACAGCAAGAACTGGGCAATCTGGCTAAGCAGCCTCATGATTATTGACACTGATGTGATCTGATACCACCAAAAACAAGGGCATCCTCAAAAGTGTAGAAACCTATTTCAAAATAAGCAGAAATTTCAAAGAAACCACAGCAGGTAAAGGTAAACCAAGAAGAGGAAGCTGGTGAGGGTCCAGTACAGGAAATGCTGACAAAGAAAATTAATCTCTTAATCCTGATATGAACTGATGCAGCTCAAGTAAATGACAATGATACACTGTCTGCAATGTGGTCTTGGGGTGCTGTGACATTGAGGATAGTTCTTGACACAAGATATGCAGAAGTGATCACAGAATTCTGTGGTTCGATGAAGTGTAACAGCAAAGCAGCAGCTGTGCAGGTCAAATCACTAGATGGGAAGGTAGCAATGATGGGTTAAATCTTACTCTGTGACTCAGACCGAAGGTGGAGATCTACTTGAGATAAACTGCTTTTTACAAAAAGCACAATAGTAACCTCCTTTTTGGCTCTTCAGGCTTGCAGGAGCAATGATGCTCTTCCACTAGAGTATGCAAAAAAGAGGATGTTTATTCCTGTAGTGAAGATCTGCCACTTGGGAGATCTTTTGATTGATATTTTACGCAAGTATGATATTGTCAAAGTAAAAACACATCTTACTCTTGAATGTGAAAACGTAAGTTAACAGTTATGACTGCTTAAAAGGAAGTTTCTTTCTCGAGTTCCTCCTTGCCCCAGAAGGGCAACAGAGTAAAACTCCTTTGAGTGCTCTGGCTGTCAAACTGGTGACTACCAAAGGGCAGCAGTGTATTGTGCTTAGGCACTTGTCTCCATAGTTCTGCTACTCTTTGGACAAAAACCAGCATGGAAAGACATCCATGCTCATTTCCATGGCTGATGACATTGACAATGCCTCCCACTGAACACTTCCTTAAAAGAAACCTGGCCTCTGTATGGGGTTATTAAGGGCATATGTGGCAATATTCATAGTAAGAAGAAATATGTATTCTTGGCAAAGCTATAAAAATGGAGATTTTTGCTTATGCAGGGAGGGAACTGTGGATTTGATGCAAGCTTCTTGTTCAGGCACAATAACACCTATTGACAAGATGGACTATAAAGGCCTCATGTTAGGAAGGAGGGACCATATCACACCTTCTGGTACTGCTGCAACTTAGACAGAGCAAAAACCTTTCTTAATGCTTGTCTGGCTAGGTACCAGACTGGGAATTTGTTCTAAGCCCCCAAGGTAACTACAAGAAAGATGATCTAATTCTGGATCAGTCAAGAATAGGTAAAGGAATGCCATCTCTGCTCACAAAGCTGCTACTTTCATTTCTGATTAACATTTGAAACAGGTGAATTGCCATGACTTTTGCTTAGTCAGGAAAAGGTGTACCTAAAGCTTCAGTACTCATAGTATGACACACTGACATTACCAGATACTGGCTTCAGTTGGCCTGAAAGTTCAAGAGGCTACCATTGGTTTTTCAGTGGTATTTTTCTCTCTCTTGGAGAAGGAGGTGAGCAGGCAAAATAACAGGTCTTTTTTCCTGTGCTCAGTCCCCAGGACCAAGCTGATGCTCCCCTACTTGTGATCGTGGCTTCAGACCTCACTCAGAACTGGACGTACTAATGACTGCAAATGGTCACTTTGTTGAAGGAGTCAGATTTGTCAGCAACAGCAGATCTGCTGTTTTCTTGAGTGGGTATTGGCACCACTCTACCCAGCCACATTGCTAGGCTGTGACATTTGGAGACCTCAGGCTGGTGTGCCCCAGCACCTGCTTTTGTGATTCTGGGTTCTTTTATTTCCTCCTGAACTTTAGGCCAACCAGTGAGTCTCCACACCCTTAAACAAGTTTCCAGTATCTGAAAATGAAAACATTTAAAAGGTGTTTCTGAAACACTGAGCTAAGTTTGTGGTAAAGCTTTTAAGAACAGAAATGAAATCTCATAACTCTGAGGCATAGTAAGATCAATCCCCAGTCAAAACCAGGTGGTTGACTCCATTAACTTGGAATTAAAATATGCATAATTACATTTTCTGAACTTGCTTTAAAGATGAAGAAAAAAATGCAGATATGTCTGGAGGGAACAGCAAACCTCTGGGCCCTTGCCTTCTCCTGAGAGACAGCTGAGACTCTGGCTTCTCTCAGCAGATGGCATGGCAATAATATAAGCTCTCAAACATCTGAGGCTCATACAGATGATTTCTATTCCTAAGGAAAAC